CCCACTTTAAGCCTATCACTGCCACTCCCTTCGTCCCATTAAATTTGGCCTTCCAAACATAGTAACTAGATAATGATGAAATTAGACTAGAACTAAATCACAAAATATTAAAAATAAATAAAATTTTACAATTGAGCTTGTATCGAGCTTCCCATCGATGAAAATCTCAGATAAAATGAAGTGTTTACAATAATGATGAATAGATATGACCCTAATGCACTGAAAACTATATATATAGCTGGCAAAATGCCACAATAGCTTATGTAAAATACTGTTATATCATATGTTCTAAAAAATTCCAATTTAAAATATATTACTAGCTTGAGGACAACAATTGGTGTTATATAAAAAAAAAGGAAAGTTTGGTCAAAGACTCCAAACTTATTATCATCAGCAGATGGATTTGGTTTCAAATTCTAGACAACCAGCTCACCCTTCTGATCTAACAAACTAAAATTTGTAAACAATGGTGTCATATGGGGTTTCAAAAACAAATTTAATACTGCTATACAAATTTTAAGATGTTTTGAGAAAATAATCCCTTCAAAATACTTCCAAACTTTTTAAAATTTGGATATGACTTTGGATCGATAAAACTATAATAAGTATTACTTAAATACCATTAACTTCACTATTTTCTTTGAAAATTGCTTGATGATCATAGATATTTTTCACTTGAACAAAAATTAATCTAATAAATCTATACTTTTATCAATTAACAGGCTTGGGTTTGGACTGACTAAAACAACCTAATGAAAATGAGTGTTGTTTGTAGTCAATGCACTTGAATTTTTAGGAAGGAATCCTATTAATTTTTGGAAATATATATATATATATATATTTCTTTTACAAAAAAGACAGTGATATGGTGGTAACAAAAAAATACTGCAAGTATTAAGATTTGAATTTCAAAAATATTAAAAATCACCTCTTAATAGAATTGTAAAATTTAATTGGATTGAACCAAGGTTTACATATATAAGTTTTTTTTTTTTTTTTGTTTATAAACATAATTAGCTCTAAAATAGACTTGAGTAGTAGATTATTTACAGTGGTCAATTTCATGTACTTCGTTCGTCTGAGATTGAATTTTTTGGGTTAGCAACTTTTTATTAAATAAGGTTATTATAACATAATATAAAGAATAAAGTTCAATAAGAGAAAAAAACAACCTTGAAATCTGAATAATTTTTTAAAATCGGCCTGGGCTACCTTTTAATTGAAATTCATTGTATGATTATTGCATTGGACAAAAGAAAGAGGGAAGAGTATGGATGTGATCCAAATTTCAAATGGTAAAGGCCCAATATCCACACTTGTTTCTATATTTTTGGTTTTTAAAGTGAACTTGACTGCCTATGAATAGCATTAGGTTTTCTTAACTCTTAATATATAGAACCTGAAAAGGTAATAAAACAAAAATTCAAGAGAACCTAAACAAGCCAGGATTTAGGCTTTCATCCAACTCCAAATTAAAGATTGAGGTTTTGAGAGGGTTTCATACTCTAATTAAATAATTCACAATGCCAGATCTTATGTTCTTAACTCTTATGGTTACTGTATTGAATTTTTTAATCATGGCACAAGATATTGACATCATGGGGCATGAAACAGCTTCAGCTGGTAAAAGAAAAAATCTCAATCATATGTGAAATCATCTAGATTCTAGGAAATTTGAATTTGATAAGTTAAATGTCCACACACTTGATTATACTAGTAAAAATTAATGATCAAACACACCAAAGATTGACATAATCAAAGCTTCATCCTTGGTCTTGTAGGAAACTCAAAAGATGTCTTGAAAAATCCAAATAAAACCCACTAGGAGAGTTAGGATAATTTTCAACATTAATTTGATAACATTCATGTTCAACCTAATTAATGCTCTCTAGCTAATTAAGAGCATTTGCATTCTTTAATCGAGTCCAATTATTAAGAAATAAATGCCTCAATTTATGAAAAATTTGTTTGTATTTAATATTCAAGATCAATTTATCTCATTTCTCAAATTAAACGAATACTTTAAAAAAAAAGATAAATCATATACACAAAAACAAAATTATAAAGATTTATATTCAATTTATAAGATATTATTCGTTTTAATTTAAAAATTTTATTATTTTATTTCACAAAAAATAAATTATAAATATGAGATTCAAGTTTTAATATATGTACAACATCAAATCCTCATAAATTTTCAATATGAAATTAGGAGCATTACTAAAATATATGTTTTAACAGTAGTTTGAACTTTGCTAAAGGCATTGTATATGTTATGTGATGTCATGATAAGAACTTGGGGCGAGGTCAACAAAGAGTGTTAACTAGGTTACATGGTGGGTCGAGTGGTAGGTTGAATATGCACGCTTTCGAGGAGTCCATAGCAAACAAGTAAGTTGATGTGAGGTGGTAGCTGCATGCGTGCCAAACTATAAACTTGATTTGGGTTTTAAATGCTTCCAAAGAAATGAAGAATTATTATGCATAGGTGGGTGAAACCTTAGCCAAATTGTATTTGTATTGTCTCTTGTACATTTAATTAAGGAATGTTAAGTACAACTCTTAAAAAAAAAAATCCCCACCAGATATTTCTATATACACTATAAAAGAACAACTTCTTTCTATTATTTCTCTGCAATTCTCCATCTCGATGATATGATAAAAAAAAAAGGTCAATAAAGAACTAAAAATTACTAGGAACTGCATTTTAAAACAAAATAAAAGTTGGCTAAAATACCAACAAAGCCCTTAATTATTCCATTTTTCTTAATCAAATCCCTAAATTTTTATTGTCTAAATAAACTTTTATTTCAAATAAAAAATTGATTTATGTTAAAAACTTATTTTGATACAAATTAAAGATACATTAAAAACTTACTGGGGATACAAATTAAAAGTTAAGAATTTACTTTAATGCAATAAAAATGTATAAATTTATCCAAAGTACAAAACTTAAGGACCAAATATGTATTCATGCCTTCTAACTATTAGTGTTATAGCTAATCAATATTCATTATATTAACACATAAATCATAAAGATTTTAGTAGCCATCTACATATGATATGGCATTTTAATCGATATTAAACTAAATATAGCAAAGTACAAGAACCAAAAGAAGATGACGGCGAGGACCGGTAGAAATTGGAAGAATGCAGTGAACCTTAATACCTAACGAAGAAAAAATGAGAGAGAAAGAGATATGATATTAACATCTAGTAATCAACCTAATTTGATGTTATAAAAAAAAAAAAAAAAAACCCCATGTTCTCTAACTTCACCTAATCCACTATAATGAAAATTGAGCACCAATTTTATTAAAATGGAAATAGAGGTAAAGAAAGAGATCGTAGCTTTGAAGTTTAATGCAATTTTTGTAAAAGATAGGTATGTTTCAATGTTCTTTAGAGTTGGTTAGTGTCAACATCAATGACAACAAATTAATCTTTTCAACTTTGCTAATTTCCTTCCTTCAATTAATTTAATCCTTCAACAAAAATATATTTTGCTTTACTAGAATAATTGTTCTTTAACATAATATTGCCATGTAATTTTGAAAAAAATTGTAAATTTAACTCTTATTATAGAAATTATATTTTTTAATTAAAAATTTTTAATTATATTTATAACAAAAAATTATAAATTTAAATTATATTTATTTTTAAAATTAGGTGATTGGGACCAATAAAAAATTAATCTCTTACATCTTATCTTATATAGAAGAAACATGATAAATAAAAAACATATTATAATAATCTTTATATATATCAAATACAAAATAAGATTATTTTATTTAATCCAATATTAATTACAAACTTATTTTATCCTTTACTATATATAATTTTATGCATCAAATACTTTCTAGAAAAATATTTTTAAAACACTCGTTGCTAACAAAATCCAAATAAATATCATTGAGCTAAACCCTTGGAGAAGTTTTTATCGAACCTAACTCTTCCACTAACGGGAATTTATTAGTGGTGCAGCTATCATTATCGTTCCCGTCATATATAGGACCCAATTATAAGGCATTAACCACAAAATTTATACATACATGTAAATGTACATATTAATGATATGTGTCAAATTAAATGTATTGATTAGTTAGAAAGTAATGATGAATAGAGCCCAACCCATATAATGCATTATGGAACAATGATGTAAGATGATCCAATATGTACTTCTTTTAAAACCTGAAGCTAGCTAGTTAACTTGAACATTAAATCATTGGATGATTCACTGTTTCACCTTTGCTCCATAAAATCATCTGCTAAACGCCATTCTGATCTATTCTACATTTTCTACTTTTCTTTTCAAGAATTTTATGGCATTTTTTCCTAAATTCACACCTCATATATGGTTATGGGGTTATATGCATCTGCCGGAACCCAATAACATGGAAACATTAACTATATATAGAATATCTATACGTCATTATGTAGTTTAGAAGATTAGTTTTGAATTATAAGAGATGCATTAATTTGTGATAAGCACCATTCTTAATTCGGGAAAATATCCCTGCTTATGCCACTAAAAACCATTTGAAATAAAATCTTTCAAAGAAAATTTGGATTGGAAATGAGCTCGGGATTGGAAATTTTCAAATAAAATCTTCAATCATGCATCTCTCTCATTGCCCTTCCAAATGGGGTGTCAACGTCTCACATCCTCCACCTTTAGATCGCATGAATCAGACGGCCATGAAAGGGTACCAAATAACTCTCTCAACTTCCCACCCAACACCTTATATACCACCCCTCTATTTAAACAACTATATAATCTGATGATTTTGTCACAGAATCCAAACATCTGACAGGAAAAATCTGTTTGGTTTCTGTGGTTTTTTACTTTCCTTATCTTCATATCACCTCTATAAAAAATTCGCATAAACTTAGACGTATTTACGTACCCAAAGTTTAAAGAATATTTGGGCTCGTTGTATTTTTCTTAGTTTTTTTTTTTTTTTTAATTATTTTTTTGGTCTTTTCTGAAGTAAACAGAAATGGAAGAGTCACATGGGAATGGAAATGAAGGTGTGTCACTAGAAAAGCTGTGCCACAATGATCCCTTAAACTGGGTTTTTGCGGCTGAGTCATTGAAAGGAAGCCATTTGGATGAAGTGAAAAGAATGGTTAATGAATATCGAAAGCAGGTGGTGAAGCTGGGGGGTGAGACACTGACCATAGCACAAGTGGCTGCAGTGGCGGCTCGTGATGATGGAGTCATAGTTGAGCTGAGTCAGTCGGCAAGGGCTGGTGTTAAAGCAAGCAGTGATTGGGTTATGGACAGCATGAATAAAGGAACAGATAGTTATGGAGTTACTACTGGTTTTGGTGCAACTTCACATAGAAGGACCAAGCAAGGAGCTGCCTTACAAAAGGAGCTCATCAGGTAATAAAATTTCCTTACTTCATGACAAAACAACTTTGAAGAAAAGTCACTTTTCAAGTATCTATTAAAAGAAATGTATTGACAAAATTCGGAGAAAATAGATTTCGTAATCTACATCCATTTCATAAGCTGGATTTTACTAAAACATCAACATAAAATTTACTTTATTTTCATCCATACTGAAAACCACACTATTATGACCTACTCACAAACTCCTGAGTATCTCCAATAATACAACTGGATGGACATTGATGTAAACTGCTTGAATTAAGTCAATAACCAATTAATTTAGTATCTAACTCGCATACCTCTTTTTTAAAGCCCTCTTACCAGGCCAGAAGCAATCAAATCTTATTACCTATAATTCAGCTATAGTATTTGAATGAACTCTAAATCCCACAAACCAACTTCTTGTCACAAGAAGCACCGTTCTGTACCCTCAAAGAAACTGACCAACGAATCAAGACTGATTTTTAACTAAAATCGTCTCCTTAAAAAAGGCACTTTAAACTTTTGCTGCATCCTCTAAAATGTGAGTAACCAAATCTGCATTACTTAATTACACATTGCTTAGATGTAATAGGTAGGTGGGTAGTCACATTTTCTCCCAACTGTGAGCTTAGAAAAAGTTCCTCGTCTTAATTAACAGGTAAATGGTCACATTTTCTCCCAGCTGTGCTTTACATTGACCTGTAGCTGGAGAATTAAGTCTCTTGATTGGTCCCTCTCAGAAAAGGTTTGATTGGTGAGGAATGTCCAACATTCAGGCAACTTACTCTTTGATTTTTGCCGTCACAAAATTTGGATATACTATTAGAGATATTATATTGTCCTTTTCTCCTCACAAGCGGAAAACGCATAGATTACAGCCTTAAGTTTTGGTATTGGAGAAAACGGGTCAGCAATAATTTCCGTCAACCTCAATTTTAGCTCACCAAATTTATGTGTTAGAAAATTGTTAGAAGCAACAATTCCTGCTTTAATTTTGGTGTGATATGCTTTATAACCATCTAAAATACCATTAATAAATTTTTACTCGTGGTAGGTATATGTTTTTGTCTTGCTTTGATGCTTGAACTGTTGTAAACAATAACTGCTCTGGATATGACATTTCCAATCTTTAGTGCAATAGCTTGTATAGTAAATTGTTTTCATTGAGCAATTTAAGTAACATATGTCAATTTGTTAAACAGATTCTTGAATGCTGGAGTCTTTGGCAGTGGCACAGAATCTTGCCATACATTGCCACATACAGCAACAAGAGCGGCTATGCTAGTGAGAATAAACACACTCCTCCAGGGCTACTCAGGCATTAGATTTGAGATCCTGGAGGCCATCACAAAGCTACTAAATCACAACATTACTCCATGCTTGCCTCTGCGTGGCTCAATTTCTGCTTCGGGGGATTTAGTCCCTTTTTCATACATTGCTGGACTTCTTACAGGGCGGCCAAATTCCGAGGCTATTGGTCCCAAAGGAGAAGCCCTAGATGCCAAGGAAGCCTTTCACCTTGCAGGCATTAATGGTGGATTTTTTGAGTTACAGCCTAAAGAGGGTCTGGCACTAGTTAATGGGACGGGAGTTGGTTCTGGCTTGGCTTCTATAGTTCTGTTTGAGGCAAACATTTTGACAGTCTTATCGGAAGTTTTGTCAGCAATATTTGCTGAGATTATGCAAGGAAAGTCAGAGTTTACAGATCATTTGACTCATAAGCTGAAGCACCATCCTGGCCAGATTGAGGCTGCAGCTATTATGGAACACATTCTGGATGGAAGTGCATTTGTTAAGGCAGCACAAAAGTTGCATGAAATTGATCCCTTGCAAAAACCTAAGCGAGATCGATATGCTCTTCGTACTTCCCCACAATGGTTAGGCCCACAAGTTGAAGTAATTCGATCATCAACAAAGTCCATTGAAAGGGAGATTAATTCGGTGAATGATAATCCATTGATTGATGTGTCAAGAAACAAGGCCTTACATGGCGGAAATTTTCAGGGTACTCCTATTGGTGTCTCTATGGATAACACAAGATTAGCAATAGCCTCAATCGGAAAACTCATGTTTGCTCAATTCTCTGAGCTTGTTAATGATTTCTACAACAATGGGTTGCCATCAAATCTGTCAGGTGGTAGGAATCCAAGCTTAGATTATGGGTTCAAGGGTGCTGAGATAGCTATGGCAGCGTATTGCTCAGAGCTCCAATTTCTTGCTAATCCCGTTACCAATCATGTTCAGAGTGCAGAGCAACACAACCAAGATGTGAATTCGTTGGGGCTAATCTCAGCCAGGAAAACAGCTGAAGCTGTTGACATCTTAAAGCTGATGTCTTCAACATACATGATTGCGCTCTGTCAGGCTATAGATTTGAGGCACCTCGAGGAGAACTTGAAGAACGCAGTAAAGAACACAGTGAACCAAGTCGCCAAAATAGTCCTAACCATGGGGACAAACGGGGAGCTTCACCCTTCAGGATTCTGTGAGAAGGATTTGCTTAAGGTGGTCGATCGTGAGCATGTTTTTGCATATGTTGACGATCCAGGTAGTGCAACTTACCCACTTATGCAAAAGCTGAGGCAAGTCCTGGTAGAACACGCCTTGACAAACAATGATGATTTGAATAAAGCAAATGCTTCAATCTTTCTTAAGATTGGCGCTTTTGAGGAGGAATTGAAGACAGTCTTGCCAAAGGAACTTGAAAATGCAAGAATTACTTTTGAAAGTGGTAATCCAGAAATCCCAAACAAGATTAAAGAATGCAGGTCCTACCCCTTGTACAAGTTTGTGCGAGAAGCCTTAGGTACAGAGTTTTTAACAGGAGAGAAAGTGAGATCACCAGGTGAAGAATGTGATAAAGTATTTGTCGGAATGTGTGAGGGAAAGTTGATTGATCCGCTGCTCGAATGTCTCAAGGATTGGGATGGTTCTCCTCTTCCAACATGTTAAGAATCCCTCCCCTCTGTCGTATTAAAACATTGTTTTTCAAAGCTTATTACATTATAAGGAAAATTTCAGTATCAATACAAATAAGACTTTAAGAAAGGGTGAAAAAGAATAAATGGACTGGCAGACCTGATTTGTGATGTCAAAGATGTTTGTTTGTATGTTTTTTCTTATTTTCCATTTCTTTTACCATTTTTTTTCGTTTGTCAAATCTGTATTTCGAGGATATTTATGTAAAGCATGAAATCTACCGCATCCTAGTTTCATCAACTTCATTTCACCGGTAGGATTTGGTTTCGATGATAAAAACAGAGTATGCTGATTCACCACTTTTTGATATTTAGGTTTTTCTCAGCAACAGACCAATAAGAGGGTATAGAAGGTACGAGTCAATAAATTGTGCATATTAGGTACTAATTATATGGTGTTTGACCAGCATTCTTGACAATGGTAGTTTCCTGGGCAGTAACATGGCCGGTTTAAATCAGCAGACGCCACTATCTCACCCACACAAATTTCAAACAACTTGCATAAAGGGATAGTAATTAAAATATATATGTATATATATATATATATATTATATCAATCAAATAACTATTAACTACAAACAACATTCGTCCATATACGACCAACCCAACGCTAATTTCCGAGCAAAGTCTCACCTCAATTTCTGTCACCTTGCACTAGTAATTGAGAAGCCCTTTTGACTCAAAAACTGAAAGAATCCGCCGCTGCATATTAGATCTTTGTTAAACAACATCTCATCTAGCGGTTATGGTTAGTCATCATCTGACAAACAAACAATGTCAGTTGCTCCGCTTTGTTGTGCTGGGTTAGAACGAATACTTGGCACTCGAGATTCCTGATGGATCAGTGTAGCCAAGCTTGAACTAACATCTGGCAGCAAGTTGCTTAAGGCATTTGCATTGGCACCAGATAGAGTGTTCATGCCCATTAAAACATCCAATGAAGGCAAAGAAGGGTTAGGTAGAGCTGCCAACCCTCCGGCAATTTCAAGTTGGATCCTACCAGATTGGGCCGTAGTTGATGTCTGCCTATGTGCAAGGGAGTTGCCATATGACTGGAGCAACGACGTAGAAGCCACAGCGTGGTTACTATGTGCCTGCTGACTTGACATTCCACGAGAATGCAATGGGAGACTGCTAGGAGAAATGGATGCTGAAGGTCTAAATGGCTGTAGATGCGGAGCAGGAGCACGAATTTCAGTGCCCATTTGAAGGTTTCCTGTGGAAGGGGAGATGGAACTGATATGGGGAGGTCTAGTTGGAGTGCCTGATAATAACGCCGAAGGATTAACAACTTGCAAAGGAGGACCCATGGTTTGTGTAACTACAGCAGGTGAAACAGTTTGCATGCTAGAAGCTGAGCCAGTTGAAGGAAGACCAGAAGCAGTGGAAGGCTGCAGAGGTGGACAGGTGGTTTGTCCATTGACTACAGCAGGTGAAACAGTTTGCATGCTAGTAGCTGAGCCAGTTGAAGGACCAGGAGCGATGGAAGGCTGTTGAGCCGTCTGTTGTGATGAAAGTTGAACCAGCTGCTGCATGAAACTGGAACTTGCCTCTACCAAAATAACAATGGCTAAGTGGTCAGTATAGTGAAACATTGCAAAAACGCAAATCTTAGCTACGTGCTTGCATATTTGGTTCTGAGCTTTTTAGCAATGTTTGCATTTTCTTGCACATGGATATTGATCTATATGCCAGGCACTCGCAAACTTGCACACGCCCACAAACACAAAGTTAAGCACTCTCTCTTTAAATTTGCAATGTAACAAGTAACCTAACAACCAATACAAATTGCCTCTAAATTTTCTCTCAAGTGACAAACTATACCATGTCCCAAAAATGATCACTCAACAAATCTGTGATTAAGGAGGCAGCCTAAACCCACCAGGCACCGATGCATAGAAATTTTCATCAAGTAGAACAATCAAAGCATCCATTTGATTCTCTATTCTTCCATTTACTATGTTAAAATTACAAACTAAAAGTAATATTACCTTGCTGTGCTGCTAAGCCAGATGCCCTGTTATCCATACATTTCGACCTGAAAGCCTCAGCCAAGATCTTATTCAAGAGAACTTTGTTGTAATTTACATCAAGATCCTTTTTCAGAAGCAGAAATTCTGCCTCTTTCTCCTGAAGTTTAACTTCATACTTTCTACGAATCTGAGCTACAACCTCCTCAATCTCCTTTTCACACTCTGCCTTCAGCTGCAGCTTCTGTTCAAATGAGAGGAAGTTCTCAGCAGAAAGTAAACCATATATCACTGTCAATAGATAAGCAAACAAGAGGACACTAACCGTGTCTTCATGAACCTTAATGGTTTGGTCTTTTTCTTTGCATATTCTTTCCATTTCATTTTGAAGTGGGTCATGATACAAAGGCAGAGGCATCCGAGATGATATAGCAGGTGCAGTCTGTAAGGGAAGGCCAATAGAAACAGAAGGGACTGAAATTGTCCTTGTTTCTGAAGTCTGTCTCACAAGCCCACCAATGGTGCCATTAATGGGCGAATGCAGAGGCTGCAAAACATCTTGATCGGAGAGCTCAATAGGGTTTGCCACCAGTTGCCTTGGAGCCTGAGAAATTTGGTTAGCAGTTTGAACTTCATTGCTTGGTTGATGTCCAATTGCACTAACTGAAGGTAGATCAGGAGGAGAAAGGTTAGAAGTTGATTCTGTGGATCTCAAATGCTGCATTTGCTCTCTAAGCTCCACAACTGGTGTATTAGGATTGGACACATTGCAAGTCACATCAATGGTGCCATTAGATGGTGAAGTTTCAGCCATCTGAAAAGCATTTCCCATTTCATCATTTGCAATGGCTCTAGCTAGTATTCCAGAGGAATCACATGGAGGAAAACCCACATTTGGGGATACCTGCCCAAATAAGAAATTGTCATTAGATTGGAAGCAGGCCATTAGCAGGGTATTGATAACATAATCTCACTAAATCTCGAAACAATCTGCTTACCACGAGGATAAATTAAATAAAACCACAATGTAGGGCAGCCATAACAATGCAAATATATATATCACCTTCTATATTGTTACTATTTTGCTTTATATTTTGGCTGTGAAATGGCAACTTAAGAAACTTCTTTAATAGAAAAGTCCAACAGATAAGTCCAAAAAGAATTTGTACTCGAACCTTAATATAATAAAAAATAATAATAATAATCTTAGATACCAGATCTGGTGGCAGTGGACCACCTTGGTCCAAGGTAGGTACAGGCTGCACTGAAGATAGATCTGCCAGAGATGGTTCTAGCAATTCAGATTCCTGGTTCATAGTGCATAGTACGCCATCCTGTTGATCAATTTCAATGACACTTGTTCCATCATTCTCTCTATCAACACTACCACCCTCGAGGACTTCACTAGGAGCAGTTCCAGGTTCTGCCAAAGAGACCTCTTCAGCAGGATTGGAAAATGCAAATGTATCTGGTATTTGTTCTTTAGTTGTAGAGGGATTCATGTAGACAATTTTATCCATGCCATCACTGGAAGTGGAAATATCAGACATGCTCTTTGGAACTTCTCCATCAGGCAAATTCAATGTAGCTCCACCAGCAATCTGTTTCTCAAATGAAGAGTTAGCAGGCATGATAGTCCCCTGACCTACACTAGAACTGACAGATTCAGGTGCACTCAAGGGAAGCTCCCCATCAGCCATTCTTACTGTGATTCCACCAGGAATTTCTTCAGAAGAAGGTATGGCTAGCAAATTCTCATGGCCTTCCCCAGAACTTACAGTCTCAGATACTCTCAACAGAACCTTACCATCAAAATTGCTTAATGTGATTCCATCAGGAATTTCTACAGATGAAGGTGCTTCCAATGAGACAAGATTCTCCTGACCACCACCAGAATAGACGTTCTCAGTGGTTCTCAAGTGGATGTCCCCAACAGCCCTTCCTACTGCAGCTGCATCAGGAATTTCTTCAGACAAAGGTGCTTCTGCTGAGACAAGGTTCTCCTGACCTTCACCAGAATTGGCAATCACAGTTTCTCTTAGGGGAAAACACCCATCAACTTTCCTTAAATTGGATCCATTGGGTTTTTCTACAGATGAAGGCGCTTCTAATGAGACAAGGTTCTCTTGACCTTCACCAGCAATGACAGTTTCTGATTCTCTCAAGGGGGTCTCCCCATCAACCTTTCTTAATGTGTCTCTATCAGAAACTTTTTCAGCTGATGGTACTTGCAACGAGGCAAGGTTCTCCTGACTGTCACAGAAACGGACACTGTCAGCTGCTTTAAGGGGAACCTCCCTGTTAGGCTTGCCTGTTGTGGCTCCATTGGGAATTTCTTCACATAAGGGTGCTTCCACAGAGACAAGATTCTCTGGAGCACCAATTGGAGAAACAGGATAAGGATCCCCATTTGATATATTCAATTTAGATCCATCAGAAATCCGGTCTCCATCAGAACATCCCATGGAAAGGAGATTATCTGTAACATCACCTGAACTGACAGTCACAGGGACATCTACTCGAACCCCTCTGTCTGGAATTTCTCCAACAGGAACCTGTTCTCTGGGCCATGAATCTTTGTTGACAGCTTGTCCCTTACCACCACCAGAACATACAGTTACATTACACTCCCCAACTAATGCTCCCTCAAAATTATCCTTGTAGGGTCTAGCCGTACCAATTGGATCAATACATGCCATAACTTTGTCTGGAACAACGTGAACAATTTTGGACAATCTTACCTCACTTCCTGAAGCAGATTGAATAACTCCAGCAGAACTCCTTCCTTCAGAAAGATTCACCTCATTTACAGGTGGCTTCACTAACTCAACCCTAGCCCAGGACTTAACCGCTTCTATCCAACGAGTCTTTCTCTCTAGAACATTGCTTCTTGCTGCCACCTGCAATGCATCAAGATTCTTAAGGTGTAGATCTATCTGCTGTTTGAGTTCATCAAACTTCCTTGCATATTCAATATCCAAATTCTTGAGCTTATCAGTCCTCATTGAGGCATTACTATGCAAACGGATAACAGCTGCTTCTGTTCTTTTCTTATTCTCTAGTTGTGCCTTTTCTTCCTCATACTTCTGGTTAAATTGCTTCATTTCCTCCTTTTGCTTCTCTTTTAGTTTTGTCATCTGCTTATCACACTTTTTCTGAATTTCTTTGATGCTTTTTAGAAGATCTCTCTGTGCCAATTGGAATTCTAGGGCCACTCCAGACTCTGCAATGGCCTGTATATCAGAACCCTCTTGAAACCCCGATAAATCTTCAGTCTTTGCTTCTACATTTTGCTTGTAAGATGTTGCATTGGAATAATCTCTTCCAACAGCTTTACTTGATAGTTCAGAAGCTGTGGGAGAGTGTGGGACCTTCAAATACCCTGTACGGTATAGAAACATTCTCTTCAGACACCGCAACATTGAATAAACATAGTCTGCCTCTTCTTTCTTGCAGGTAAAGCCTAGATGCTGCTTTGCAAGGGCAAGTGATTCTTTGTGATCAATTTTCTGCTTCAACAAAGAAGCTGCACTCCAACACTGAATGTACAGAGACCAGAAGATTGTGATGTTAAAGAACCAGAATATCTTTAATGCATGCTTACATGCATGCAATAGCAAACGTCTTAGAAACCTAAAATATTTATAGCATATATACAAAAATGCAGCAGCAATGCACTCTCAACAGAATGTTCAATGTTACATGAATATTTTTATGCATCAAAGTGAACTCATACACAGACATACATACATACATATATATATGCACATATATTAATATAATAAATCCAGAAAAGGTGCTTATATCAAAGAATAATGTAACGAGGGGAAGAGAGACACAAACACAGATCAGCTTAATTGATTATCTTTTAGACCTAAGAACTGCACATGAACCACATGGTTATTTACATCCCTCTGTCTCCATGCAACCTGATAACTCTCCCTTAACTAAGCTTTCACTTGCCTACCGATGAGAGACATACTTTATCTAAATTTAATCTATTTAATCAAAGACAGAAGCTCAAAGTTTCAACTCATTCCATCTAAATTATATACTGTTTCCTACTTTATCAGAGAACCATTAGAAAGATACCCAACTTCAGAAGCAAAAACTTGGTAAAATATTTTGAGTGCAAACTCTAATTAAATAAGACATGCAACTTTATCAAAGGGGTGTTATAAGTATCATACTTCACTCCTCACCATTTGAAACACAGTGTTGACTATACCAAGTACAAAGACAGAAGCTCAAAGTTTCTACTCATTCCATCTAAATTATATACTGTTTCCTACTTTATTAGAGGACCATTAGAAAGATACCCAACTTCAGAAGCAAAAACTAGGTAAAATATTTTGAGTGCAAACTCTAATTAAATAAGACATGCAACTTTATCAAAGGGATGTTATAAGTACCATATTTCACTCCTCACCATTTGAAACACAGCATTGACTATACCAAGTACAAACTCATGAACTAAATGAAACATCACAAGATTCAGTACATAATCTAAAACAGATTCCAAACTTATTGCCAAAAAAAGGAAACACAGCTCAATTTTCATAAAAAGCTAGGCATGAAAGATGCATGATCCTGACTCCTAAGCAAGGGGTGTTCCATATGAACAGGACTTCTATCATTTTCAGTTGCATTACAAAGGCACAATTGCAAATTCTACAGAAGCTGTCCATGAGAAAGAGGAGCGGACATCAAAATTTGGTGTCAAATTATACTGCACTTGAAGAAAAATTGCAATTAATAGTTAGAAACAGGCAACCATAAATAAAAGCATAACTTGATCCTCTAATACATACAGGACTGCCTAATAGATAACACCAATTGACATATGAAAGACATCATTATCAACAATTGCAGAATGAATTTAAGAATATAACAGAGAATAAAGGTCTAACCAGAGAAATCTGAAATGCCTGCAAAATGGACGCTGGTTCCCTATTAACCAGATGATTATTCATGACATATTCAAGAAACCTTTCAACCATAGCCTTGACATCCTCCTGCAACACAAATAAGATGTACCATAAAGCAGGCTGTTATAAATACTGCATTAATAGAATAGTAAGATTTCAATATAAAACCATGACAAAGAGAGAGAAAATTGAGGGTCCACTGTTACAGAAAATACAAATGAAATATTTATAATAAATAGTTCAAAAAAACCCTTGTATTAGTAAATAGATGAATAAGGATTCTTTTTCTACCTTAACTCCTGGGGAAATTTTTTCAGAAGTGGAATACAGGACAAACAGAGCAACATTTCTACAAAATGGGATACTAAACTGGCCCATTTTACAAAAACCCCATTCAAGTAACTTTTCCACTTTTAGTCACATTAAGATAAAAATAAACAAAATAAAACTTGAATGATCCGTTCTACCCAGCCAGGCAGTTCAAGATAGAGAGTGTTTTTGAGAACTATATCTAGTAACCATATTTCTCTTGTCTATTGTTCCTCCCCCTTTGCTTTTCATTATATCCTGAGATGGAATTAGACCTCAGCAAAAACATATTCTGAAATCTCTAAGGAGGTTAAATATCCCCCTAACGCCAAAATCTTTTCCAGTCGTTTCTTTTCATTCTAGTGAGCAAAATAGACATTATAGGCTGACAAGATAAAGAACTAACAGCAAGTTCTGATCACATATAAATTAAGGTACATACTGAAAGTTGTAGAACTTCACAGAGTTTTGCTATCTGTGGCCTCAAAAGAACATGGAGATTCTTCTGTGAGTCACGCTGTTTTCTTCTCTCCCATTCAACTATGTTAAGAGCTGGTATTTTTGAGATATTATTGGCCAGATGAAGTGAGTTAGAGGTTGCATGACTTTTGTCACTTCCACAAGCTGTTGATCTACTCAAAGAAGGAGATAAACCATATGCTGAGGTTCCTGAGCTTCCTGAAAACAATAAGAGAAAGGGTTGGAAAGAGTATTCAAGAAAGAGGGAATTTTCTTCTACCAATACTGCACTTCATTGCATTTACATTGCCCATTACCTTCCCTGTCCCAAGCAGCCATTTTCTCCTCTTGCAGCATAGCTTTTGGAGAGGGATGATCATTCCCATCACTGACTACCTTCTTGCGCCTCTTTACAACTTCAGCACTTTCAGCCTCAGGTTTATCTTGCAAATCATCAAAATATTGAACCCTTTTCCGATTCCTCTGAGATGAACAAGAAGAATACTTCCATCTTGGACTTTTTCCCTCCAAAAGTTTTGTCCAAAATATATGAGGAGGATCTTCATTCATCACTTGAATTTTCTGCTCACCAAACAATGGCATTTCCGTCCCATACATTCCTCGATTTTGTTTGGCTTGTAAAATTAGGGATAACTTGCTTGCATCATTTTCTATCCCAGTTTGACGCAGTAAGATAAAGAATTCTTGAAGAACATCTTTTAAATGTGATTGCTCAGACAATGTATTTGCATCCAGTGTTGGGATACCATGAAATTTATCCAACTGACTGAATAGGTATGAAGCCCCCCATTTCAGCAGCATTTGACTACTACTAGGGCTTATGTTCTCTATGTTGCTATCAAGTGTCTTATCTTGTTTTGAAAGCATCAAAACTTTTTCCTCCACAGTAAATGATGAATATAAACGAAATATGTTTATTTGTTCAAATTGAGAATCAAGTGTTATCCTCTGAAGGGCTCTTAGATCATTCATTGGGCTCCAATCACTTCCAAATATTATGACGGTACCAACTGCAGATAATTTGATGCTGGGAAGACAAGCACGGGTTTCTAATAGAAAGACAAATCTCTCGCTCTCGTTATTGAATTTGTTCAAAGCAGATTGCTTCTTTGAAGGGGTAACACCACCATCCACACGCTCATAAGAATCTGCACCAAATCTTTGACGCAGAAAGTCATCCAAAATATCTCCCATTAAATCCCTTCCAGAACCACCAATGTACTGTCAATCAAACCATCTAGATGAGAAACATAAAATAGCCAAAATCCTTTCTGCGAGAGAAATTATATGTATGGTTTAGATGCATGCACACTCACAGTAAAGAAGGATTACTATTTAGACAATAAGGGTTGATTAAAGTTACACAACAATGACAGCAAAGTAGGTTAGGGCACAAAACAACCATATTCATACCAGCAGAAAAGAAACCATTGCATGTCCAGTTCCAATCCCAAATGTAACTTAAACACAATCACCTATTGAACTAGCTTCTTCCATTCACCAACCTTATTGTCATATAAAAGCCAGTTTGGCCTGGCTGGAGTTTCATCAGAAAATGCAGTTGAAAATATAACTTTTTTCAAGAGCTGTCACATAGAATTTAACAGGAATCACTAAGAATATGTTTTGTCCTTTAAAATTTCTCACTAAATGTTTCCAGTTTCTCATTGCAGCTTTTCTTGAAAGCTAAATTAGCAGTTTCAGATTTAACCTCTAGAAGCTCATATTCAACTTTTGCAAAAGCTAAAATTTGATAGTCAAGACCTGGTTGGCCACTTCAGCTTCTTGGAGCAGGAAAGCTGCTCAAAAGCAAGGTCAGACAGGCAGTAAGCTACATATTAATTTTTATATGTTGAACAAGCATCAGAGCCTTTTCTATTTGTGCCACCTGTCAAAGCAACAAAATGGGGTATAGCAGACGTAGTACTTGAACAATAATACAGTAGACCCAGGGGATTTAGCTTCATCCGCCTTTAACAAACTCAAATGATTATAAAAGTTTCAATTGTAAATATTTACAAGCTTTTCGCACACAGGTATATTAATCACCTTAACAACATAAGCTAGAGAATATCAATAATCCAAAACACGCATAATACAACTACAAACAATTGCTTCAAAACCATTGTCAAGAGAAAATGTACCTGGAAAAGAATAAGCACTTTCAACTTTTGTTTCTTGATCTCCAAAAGCATTGCATCAAGAAGTTGTAATTTGCCACTAGCTTTTATGCCAACATCCAAAAACTCAACCTCTTTAAGGCCTTTAGTGAGCAACAATTGAAGGGATTGATCCACAACATAGGGATGATCACAACACTGTCAAGAATTACCATTAAAACACGATATCAACTCATAATATGCAGTAATATCAGTAAATTTCTACACATCTCACTCATCCTCAGTCGAATACATATATCACGAAAAAAAGTTCAATGCAAATTCATCTAATATAACAGAAAGTACGATATAAATCAAACCTGGTGAATTTTTTATGCTTTTGGAAATGCAAAATAAATAAAAGAAATTCAAACAACAAAGCTCAAGTGGTAAGGTTGGGGTAGGGATTGGGTAAAGTTCCTAGGTTTGAGCCATAATGATCCCTCCCATCCGAAAATATAAATAAATTAAATAGCATTTCAAGATTTTCCAAAAGCATCATCAGATTACTAACTCCAAAAAGCAAAACTTAGGACAATGCACCCGAAAATTTCTAAGCTTATGGATGAGATATCACCTAATCCTAATTTCTGAAGTCTATACTGCAGCCAAACACAAAAAGTCAGGAAATTGGGATGAATATTTTGATATGTTAGATGATTTGACATCTAAGGCAAATTTTTTTTTTTTTTTAAAAAAGAAGAGCTTAAACCTCACATAATCATGTAGTTGAAGCAAAAGGTTTAGTAAACTCAACCTTTCGGCTGGAGATAAGAATGCTACGGAGAGCTCCAACAGGATCAGTCTTTGAAAGTGAGCAAAGAGAGAGAGAGTTTGAAAGTAGACTAAAACAATACTGCTCTAGCTGCACATTGGATAAAAGTACAGGAACCCAGTATTCTAGAAATCTAGATGATTCTAATTTGCACTCATAAGCAACATATTTCGCCAACCTCTCCTTCAGAGTACCAATACTATCACTTGAGTTCGTTAGCAAGCTGTCACTGCCATTTGAATCGCTTTCAGAATCAAGCAGAGAAAGAAGATTAAGGTACTCAGCAACATTATCCTGCAGAAACCAGATAGTATACATAAATCAACCTGCAGAAAACAATAACAACAACAAGTGAAAAGTAGAAATGCCAAACCTTCAGTTGACTGCTGATAATTAAAAGCCTCTTACTAGCAGTTAACATCTTAATTTGTTCAAAACAAGAAGCAACTCTTGGACGTTGGCACTCATCCACTATTATTGCCTCCCATCCTATGCAATCAAGCACATTCAAGTCCTGCAGAACCACATTAAACTTAACAGGCAAACCCATGCCAGGTGAATAAAAATGTGGCAATAGATTTTTCTTTTTTTTCCTCAATTGACAATAGGAAACTAAATGATGCAGCACTACATCCTAATAACTCTAACACAAAACAAGGATACAACGTTTGACCCATGCACAACTTGTCAGATAACAAATTTCAAAACTTAATTTATCACAGAAGCTGCATATATACCTCGCTGATAACTTCTGGTGAGGTTATAAGCACTTGAAACATTATACAACCTCCTTCGTCATAAAACTCCAGGTTCCTAATACTATTCCGAATTTCTTTACTGCCACTGTAAACCACAACATCAGCAGATGGCACTAAATGCAAGAACTCCTCATCCCATGAATATTGTGAAGTGGAAGTTGTGATGATGAGAAAAGGCCTAGAGATGTCAGATGGAAAAGATAGAATGGAAGAAATAACATTCAAAATCCTTTCCTGCAAAAAATAGGGACAATTCAGAACCACTGCAAATGAAACTATGCATTTTACTATCATCATGGAATGGTATCAAAGTGATTAATAGAATGAAGGTCTGAGCAACCATTGCCATCAGATATTTGATGTTTATTGTCTTTCAAGACCAATAAAATAATATTCTGAAAATAAGAATCAATTGACATTATAAGAATCATGCATAGAGAAAAAGCCTAACATAAAACATTATGTTGTTTGCATTTATGTAAACGTACAAACTTCTTACAAAGGATATAAAATATTATGTTGTTTACATTTATGTAAACGTACAAACTTCTTACGAAGGACCATGATAATATAACAAAATGCGCATATAGGAACATACACACATGTAAATTGTATAACACAGATCTTGTGTGTTTATATCTTTTTATAAGTTCTGATACTTGTGTATGCATGCCAGTAGGTCAGATTTTTGCATTGGCAAAATGTAACATATCAAAATAAGAAATAATAACCCAATAACTGAACAAGCATATACATATGTGAATACAAATATGTACTCGTGCATTCATAGGGCATTTTTCACATTTTATGCTACCTCAGACATTTATAAGGTTAATAAGCGTGTACATGTGCAAGCAGACCATTTTTAGCCCATATTACCAATGCACAAACAAGATTGTCAAGCAACAAATTGACAAGACCAGGTAACTATTACGATTTAAGTAAAAATCCTTGGTCAGATCATTTTCAAATGCACTACAAACCCGAATAACAAAACATTTGATCAAGCGCACCTGGTCATCCAAAATGACAGCATTCTGGCCCCTACACCAATAGTTGCATAGTTTGTTAACAGCATCAAGGTTAGCATCCAGTCCAGATGAAACTCCGTCCTGTAATTGAGAAGCTTTTAGGGATGCAACTGCTCTTTCCTGCGCATGTTCCTAGTTGGTTAGAAACAAGCCATTTAAATAAAAAGGGAAAGAAAAGTGCGACATGTTTTTAGGAGTATTTTGTACATGTTATGTTAAAAATTCATGATAATAGTAGCATAACAGGTAAATGAAACCTAAACCAAATCTTGCCAAACAAAAACATCCATATAACTCATATGCTCACAGTGGTCAACATAATGATGTTTCAAATACACATATGGATAACATCAAATCCAATGGCGGCAGCTTTTACAAATTACAAGTTCAAATAGCAAAAAGTATCAAGGACTTGAACCAATAGAACAAGCATATTGTATGGGGCACTGCAATGGTTATTATTTGGGACTTTCAACTTGAAGGTCACAAGTTCACACCTTTGGTTGTAGCAATGGGTTTATGAGCTGGGAGAGGGCTACCTCCCTTGTGTTGCCTGAGACCCAAAGGGCCTCCCTACATACCCAAGAAAAAAAAACACATGCTATATGAATCCTAGATTATTTGTACACTAGTTCAAGCACTCAAATAGTTACTAAACTGGTTATAAAGAATTTTCCAGGACAGATATGCGTCTTCACTACAACAAAATACCAACTTATTAAGTAGGATCAAGTCTTGCTAGAATATAACATATTTCACATTTTTCTTAAGGCACCTTATCAAATTTAGAAGCTCTCTTTGCCTTGTTGCGACGAGTTTCATAATCTCGTATAAGGCTCTGACCTTCTGGATAACTGAAAAAGGAAGCATTCTCCAATTCCCATGAAGCATGATCATAACCAAGACCACACCATTTCACAAGCCACTCAACATGACAATTTAACTTATCACCACCATGCCCTTTATTATGGTGCTCATCAGACTCCTTGGGAGTCATCAACAATCTTTTCTGTAGCACACGATGTGGCACCGCCCAGTGTTGCTTCCATGCAGCACCCTGAACAACATAGCATATATGAATGACTAAATGCATCTCAAGTAACCTTTAATGTAATGATCCTCAACAGAAGGAATATCACTGGTTGAAAACAATCGTATTCAATAACTGTGAACCTGGTTTCTTCGGTTATATTTTGCAACAAGCGATGGAGCTTCAAGCAACACCTGATTCTCTGGTACCCAACGATTATGGACATGAGCGAGACCTTTGTATTTCACAAAATATTGCTTCTGTCTTCGCAATCCTAAAACCGAATACCAAATGCAAGGATATTACTATCAGCAACTACTCGTTAATCCAAAAAGTTAGTAATACAAAGTATAGCAATTATCAAACAAAATAAAAGAAGAATAGCATTGCTAAATACTTCAGTAATAATTCACAGGAGCAGTCAGCAAACAATTGTGGCACAATTTATAGAAATATGTTATCAAAGAAAAACAAATCCATGGATATAAGCAGATTATTGATTGAGCCCATACCATCCTTTGAAGACTCCAGTTCTCTAGAATCCCAAATTGCTTCTATTCCCTCTGAAACTGTATGCACCCCTGATTCTAATTTTTTCCTCGCACATACTACACAGTACCATACTCCAAAAGGAAACTCCTCAAGGGGAGCTTCTAGACACGAAAGATGGTAGCTTATTTGGCACCCTTTTCCATGACAGCATCTAAATAGGATGGCAGAGTGTAAGATAACAAAATAAATTCAAATTTTACCCACAAAGATGTGATCCAACATAATTAAAAATATAGTGACCACTCCAAAAAGCACTAAATTTATTGTGAAGAAAAAAAAGCAGTACACATGACCTACTGAAGACATGTTAAAGCTCTCAATTGTCCAGTGTCTCTTATCTAATTGATTGAAATTTCTTTTAAACATAGAGTCAGTCACAAACTAAATTATTACAAAATTCTCTACAGCAGGGATGTATATGAAGATACATCAAAGAGGGCAATCCAAAAGATTTATAATTATAGTGAATCCAATATCCTACAGATCAAAGCATCTAATACAGAAGAAATCCACCTGCTGTACCAATGATTACTGAACAACACATTCACCTATCAACTATATAAAATTACAATATAGATAAACCAATTGAAAAGGTTACCCACAAGAGCTTTCCATCCAGTTTGCATACAATGCAAGTATTTTGACCACTGCCTGTTTGAAGATCGGTCGAGGACATATGTTGTAATGTATAATTACAGGGCTTTTCAATTTGTCCCGTGCTAATACCAACATCGAGTTTCCCTCTATCCTAATGCAATTCAGCAAGACAATGGAAACAGTTATGACAAGGTCAATGACATATCACATATAATCATTTAATATTAGATAAGAACATAGAAACATTAGCAATAAATTCAAAAGACCTTGGTGGAAAACTAGATCCTTATTCCTTGCACACAAAGAGACTAAGAAGAGTCAGAAGAGAGACACAGGGGGGAAGGGAGGGCGAAAAGGAGAATATATCCAAAGATCAGCCAACAAAGTTTTACAATAAAGCTTCCTAAAATGATCATTGGTTATGAAAGTTAATAATCAAAAGGTTGGTTTCTTTGACTTTAATTGTTTTACATCCAGCTTTACTTCAATGAAAGATAAATCAAAGGCAACGCCACAGAAGACAAACTCAGACAAGCAAACCTTGTCCATCAAAGGCATGCATATCACTTTAATCCGTCAACCTGATTCTTGTAATTCTCTCTCTTTTCAACTTAGCTTAGCTAATTTTGTCTTGCTCAAATAAATCAATTAATCAACAGAAAAGAAGAAAAAAGGTTGAATTTCCCTTTTCAGTCACAAACAAGAAGTACAAAAAATTGAAAACCTGCTCAAGTACTCTCTCCAATTAAGACATGTTCTGGAGAGAGATAGCTAGCGTAAAGAAAAGGCAAGGCAATTCCAATTAATACAACCAAGAGTTGGTTATATGCTTCCTCTGCTTTATATTGAGTACTGGCTATCTAGATGAGTAAAATGCTAAGCCCACTTGGTTTTCAAGGCACAAGACCATCCTTTAGACATGCCTTTTTCCAAGGCACAAGGAGTTCCTTAAAAAGACAAGAGAAACCGGATATTCAAAGACAAGAAAGATCAGAGAAGAAAAACTAACCTTAATATCAGAGGATCTAAGCAACTGGTTTAACTTTGAATTACAAGAGCAAATCTCATGCTTTGTTGAATCGCAGTCAACCCTGCAAAATATGAAGATATATTGTTCTTTTAAAGAAAAGAATATACTTTATCTGTTTTAAAATTAAAGAAGATCAAATCGTAATAAGATTATATGGTCAAATACTCAGCTTAGGAAGGCATTCCCAAAGTTTTGGAAAGACAAGCTAAAAATTGCTCATAAAAAAGGCCGTAGCATTACTATGAATTCTTTTACCCGTTAATAATAACCATGGGCAGCATTGAGGGAGACATTTTAATTTGTAACTGCACATGTTTCATAATCTGACTGACCAGGTAAATTTTTTCCAAATTCACACTTTAATATTGTCAGTATCTCAATCCATAGATGTTTTGTTGTGAGTGTGGTGAATTAACTAATTTATGTCTAATTTAGTTATAAGGAACATTACTAAATTAGGAAAATTTCTTACTAAGCAAAATGTTCAGATTCACTTAAACAGAAGCAGGACCCACACAAATCATTCACTAGAGGTTTTGCAATCTTCTCAAGGCGATTCATGATACCATTCAAATTTTAAGATCACCGAAAGGTCTCCATTAGAATCTAGTGTATCTAACTTCTCTTCTTTTATCAGGTAAGCTTTGATGCAAAATGAGAAACTTGTCCAGCTCTATCAAGCCCTTCAACTTCTTTTTTTGTATTTAATAAACAAAATCCATCCAAAAAAAAAACCCAATACATCCCAGCCAATTAGAACCAAAATTCATCAAGCAGCCAAGTACTATTATTCTTAATCACAAACACCAACAGCCCTCGAATTGAGCATTTATATGCATCATGTTTCAATCCCAAATATTCCCCTTATCTTACAAACTAAACCTAGGAAAAAATGCAATTCCTTTCCTTCTTGGTCTCAAGAACCACAAACTCTAGCTTATATGTTCTCCAAAATGTACATCAAGTCATCCAATTTACAACTAATCTCAAACTTCAGAAAATTTAACACATTTCTACCTCAAGGACCTCAACCTATGTATTAACAAAACTAGCATTCTCAATCAACTAGCAAAAAATTCTAATGCGGTAGGATTCTTCTAGGGAAAATTAAAAGATAAGTATAATAGGAACCACCGACAAAAAATCACAAACCACCATGTAAAATTATCATCTATGCAGACCTTGTGCTGTTTTACACTAAGAAGAAGCTCTAAGAAAAGAAAAAGAAATTCATAGCAATTTATGGGTAGTTTCAGAGGTAGGGGAGCACATAAGTACACTTCAACTAGTTTGGACCAATTGCTATTATTATAGATGCTATGTGATGTAGTTCTTCTGCAGGTATTTTATCAAAGTTACCTATCTGGATTATATTTTAATGATTTATGACACACTCAAATCAATGCCAACCATCATATAAACTAGATAAGAGATTTATATTTTAAATAGGGATATAGATAAGAGATTGAACAAATCATCTAGCATTTGCACAAAATGGACGCTCAAAGCAGTTAGAGATGTGATAATTTAAGGTTTTTGTATAATGACAACATAATTACTTGCAATAATCAATACCAAACGCATGATGAAAGTCAAAAGGAATTTACATAAGAAAATGGCTTAAATGGTACATGCATACAGAAAATATCTAATTCATATTGAACTAGAGAATAAACCAAAATTCTAAACTCTAACATTCAACAATAGCAATCAAATTATCATTAGCCATTTAAGTTTGATAAACTTGCTGAAATTCACTATAAAACCTGTTGAATTATCATCCAACTAAGAATAAATCAATACCTTTTCCTTTTAGAACACATTCCACAAGTCTCAATGCAATCTTTTCTTTTGCAACCAGGTGACAATAAAGTTCCAGCACCAGCAGAGGTCGCAATATCTTTAGTTGATATTTTTGGAAAAGAAACAGAATCAATGTCTATATCATTTCCTTTCCTTTTGGAAGGCCTGATTTTCTGAACCATCTCCAAACTGATATCACAATCAAGGACCCCTCCATGAATGATGGAATTTAATAACAGTGGACTTTGCAGATTTTCCTGCGCATCCTTTTCAGCATTATCATTCATTTCTCCAGTGACCAAACCATTATTAGAAACTTGCAGACCATCCCCATTTGAAGACATACCCTTGCAGCTATCCTTTTGCCCAGTGGGAAACAATTTATACTCGTTATTTTTTTCAAGTGCTTCCTTCACAGATTGACTTGTACTTGTCACCACAGTCTTTTCACGAGTTCTCTCAGCAAGTTCTTCCACAAGGTCCGCCTCCCTCCTTCCATTATCAGTTACATTCAGATCATCACAATGATCTACAACACAAGCAGAAAAGTCTAAAATGATATATTTAATCAAATAAAATCCTACTCAAAATGAATAAAACAGAAATATCTCAAATCAACATAAAATTGTCCAAGCAACAGAAGATAAGTTCATTAAAAGAGGAAATAAGCAAATACTAAATAGTACAATGCAAAGCCCATTTGAATTACTCCTGTGAGCAATTATAATAGGAAGAATGAGAAAAAAGAAGGTAGTTACCTGTTCCATCAACTTTCTTGGGTTGTTTCCTGAACAATGCTCTATAGGCACGAGCACCCATTCTCTTCTTTGGTGCCTCATTGGCTTGCCCATCTTCTAGCTTTTTTTTGTTAACTTCTACAGTTTCCATTGTCAATTGTTTCACGCTCTTCTCTTTTTTCTCTTTCTTCCTTTTCATATCCAGCAAATCCGGGCTCTTATCAGACCTCTTTGATCCCGAAGAACCGGATAAGGAGGCCATCTTACCCCTCTCAGATCTCCTCAAAGGACTCGCACTCTTCTGCTTCTCAATTCGCTTAGATTTCCTCTTAGCTGGAGGAGTCATTGAATTCAAATCCGTAGTCTGCTTCTCAAGACGCTCCGACTTCCGAGTACCGGAAGAACTTGGTGGAGTCATGTTTTTCTTAGACAGGGTTTCCCTAGATAACCTCTTATTCCTAACACCAGATGCATCCGCTGTAGCAGCACCCGAATTCACTGGTTTTTACCACTACTTTCACTTCCTTTCGAATCATTATCATTATCATCCTTAGCTTTCCTATTAGACCGGGTACCATTCGCCATACCTTCAATGTGAACAAAAAAATATTCTTAAAACGACAATGTATAGAGAATGAAGCAGAGATTCACAATTAATTCACATCAAAAGCCAATTTGTTGACAAAATAAATTTGAGAGTTGATAATATATTACTATAAACTATGTTTCAATAAAATCTGCATAAATTAACACAAACAAGAAAGCAACCTGGTATAAATAATGCCAATAACATCATAATCAGAACAATGCAACAGCTTTGAACCCTAAAATCCTAACTCAAGCCACCAATAAAGTCAATAAACAAAATTACCATCAATTACACACAAATTCAGTAATTCCGATCTAATCGTAAGCCGCTCAAACTAAAACCCTAACTAACTTGACACAAAAAAAATTGTTACAAGATTTTGATTTTCCATAATAAAGAAATACGGACTTACCCGCATGCGAATCCAGTGGGTAAAAACTTTCCTCTGCAATGTTGAGAGATTTTTATCTCTTTTTTTCTTTTAAAATGTTTGGTTAGGTTTTCTATCCGAGCAAGTTAAGCGATTTTTTTTCCGCGAGAAAACGAGGGAAAACGAAGAAGCCTTTATGAGGTTTTTGTAAATTTTGGAATGAATTTTATTTTCTCTTTTTTGAAAGTTATCGTTTGAAACGCCTCTAGACTCTTTGGACACTGAAAAGGTACGGGGTTCTAAACAACCATAGCTTTTATTTCCTAGACCCCATTTTTTAAAAAAATTTTAAAATAAAATTATTTAATTATCATTTTCACAATTTATAATTTACAAAAATTTTATTTTCAAAAAATATTCATAAATCCAAAAAGAAGTTTATAAAATTTTTTAAAAAAATTACAAAAAAATATTTTATTAAAATTTTTAATTAATTGATCTGATAAAAATTTATTATTAAAATATCATAAATTTTAAAATTAATAAAAATTAATTTTATTATTTTAACTTTAAAAAAATAAAATTATATAAAATTTTAATTAAATATTTTATCTCTTAATATTACTAGAGATAACGAAAGAACTATTAAATTTAATCAACATTTGAAAGCTCTTGACATTGTACAAATGATACCATTAAACATTACTCATTTTTTTTTAAATCTAATATAATAAGTAAAAAAAATCTATTGTGATAAGTAAATAACAAAAAATTTTAAAGAGTTCAATTTAATTATAATTATTATAAAATTTTAATTATCATTCTAATAAATAAATATTTATTTAAAAAAGAACAAATTTTAAATTTATAAAAAAATAAATTGATTATTTTATTTTAAATTTATTTATGATCAAATAATATTTTTTAAGTAAAAATAGTAAAATTAATTTTTTTCTTTTAATTTTAAAATTTATAAAATTTTTTCAATAATAACTTTTTTATTATATCAATTAATAAAAATTGTTAATAAATTTTTTTATATTTTTCTCCCTTTCTTTTTGAAAATAAATTTTTAATAAGTTATAAAATTTATCAAAAAAATTATACAACTTATTAATGAATATATGAAAACTTATAAAAAGATAATTAAATATTTTAGTCATAAAAATTTAAAATTAAAAAAAAAAAAAAAAAGGTGTGAAGAGTAAAAAGTGTTATGCAATTATAAACTTCGAAGGTGAAATTATCATCTTTATATGAGATAAAAATGCCCTAGGTTATAGAGCATGTTCAGTGTTTTAGTCTCGTTTAAATTGAAATGACATAATTGACCTTTGTAAGATTTATGTGGAAGGGTTTTAAATTCATTCTAATTTTTTTCTCTTTACATCATTTTTTTTATTTTTTCTTTAAGTGAAATTCTTTAATTATCACTTGCATCTTAATTTTAAAACTTTCGAATATACATATCCCGTAAGTTGTATAATATATTAAATTTTTATATCTAGTAAATTAAAAAAAATTACATTTAGATTTGAGAAAAGAATCAATTGAAAAAAAATAAATTACAAAATTTTTTTAATTTTTGGTTATATAAATTCATAAACTTTTAAAAGTTTATGGATATGTAAATCTAATATCTTTTAAGAACTTTCGAATTTATAAATTCAAAAATTTTTAAAAATTTTTAAATTTACAATTTTAAAAACTTAAAAATAAAAAGGGTGTGAAGCAAATAAAAATAAGTAATTAAATAATTTTATTTATAATAATATTTTTTTTTTAAAATGAGGTATGAAAAGTAAAAAATAGGCATTAATAGAATGTTTCATTTATGTGGTATAAAGCACGAATTACGCTACTATTCCATTGTTAGCTTAATATTTATTTTCCCTATTCTTTTATTATTTTTATTTAAATAAAATATTTAGGAATTGAATTTGACATAATAAAAGTATAATTTGATTTTTTTTATTTTTTATGAAATCATTGTGCTCGAATAAAACCTTTTTTTAATTATTTACTCGTTATGTTTTACTTTTTGATATTTTTTTAAAACAAAATTTGAGAAAGTATGTAAAGTAAAATATAAATAATGAAAGAATTAACAATCAAATGGATTAAACTCAATTTTTTAAGAAAATGAGTTTTGGTTCTCTTTTAATCTTTTAAACAAATAAAAATTTTTTACACTTTGAAATTCGACCCATACCGCCACACCTCTACAAATGATTATTAAGTGTTATGGAAAATTAAATGCTATAATTATCTTAAGCTTTTAATACATTTTAATTGTGTGTATTAAGTGATGTTTGAAGCAATGCTTTTTTTTTTAACAATGAAATTTTTTTTTAATATAGAAGGCATGAAAATTTATGGAGTTTATTTATTCGCGTAACAATTGTTAATTTAAATTGTTTATATTTATCAACTAAGATGATGTGCGTAGTGAAATTTTTAAAAGTTAAATTTAAGTAAATAAATAAATAAAAATTGAAGGTTAAAGATAAAGTAAAATTAAAAAAAAATAAATTTAATCTGGTCTTAGTCATGATCTCTCTTTAAACAGAATAAAATTTCAAATTGACTTATATTTTCGTTACACTTTTCTTATATCATCATTCGCAATAAAACAAGAAAAATGAGATGAGAGCCAAAAAAAAAAAAAGGAAAGAAAAAGCAACGAAATGCCAAAGCCTCAGCACGTGATAAAAAAAAATCAGTCAAACAGTCAAATATTGACTACATTAGTCAAACCTTGGATACTTCACTCAAATCATTGAAGATGCAAAGGCATCCAAATCTGTTCCTTAGCTGGCGAAAGGAGAGACCAAAATCTCAGTTGGCTACTATTGTTTGAAACCTGAAGCTGAAATGGTGAACTTAACTGCAGATTGGTGATGCTCTATCTAATGCAATGCAGCAAAGTACTTGCCTAAAGAAAAACGAGATAGGATGGAATGCTCTGGTGTTGGAAAGTTCATGATCCCAAAATATGTTATTGTATTTTTTTTTATTGAATTCCCAATTGTCCACTAGTTCTTAGGCCAGCATTTGATGGTGATTTCAAATTTGATAACTGGTTCTTTTTCATTTTTAGGTTTGATTTTATGTAAAACCATTTATTTTGAAAGCAACCTAGGTAATAAAACAAGGTGACTATTCCTGGATCGGCATTTCTTTGTTCATTTAGAAGCTAATAGGCTAGGATATGAATATTGAAATATGTCAAGGTCTTTGCAGTTGCCTTTGGTTTTTCTTGTTGCTTTGAACATATTAATATAGTGTTATCTCACATTTGATAAATATATAATTTCTTATAATCTTATATTCAGGTTAAACTCCTCTACTTACTGTCAATTAATTTTAAGTTGAATGTTTAACATAATATCAAGAACAATATTTTCTTATGTTGCTCTTTTCAAATTTGTTATATGATAGGTTTCTTCCATCTCCACGTATATGTGATGATAGCCTATTAAAATAATGTTATCTCACATATAATTAAAGTGGTGTTATAGTTATCTTTTATCAAAGAATGACTTTGGTTATCAAATGATTAAACAACTGAACTAATTTACTTACAATACTTAGTTGACATTCACAAAATGTATTTAATGAATTTTGAGTTCAATACATCCTCTTTAATAGAAGGGTAGATATTTCTTGCTTATTATCAGACAATCACTTATTCACAAACTTCGTGTAGGGCTAATAGTTTTCATTTCCCCTCTCATGGAAAACCCTTTTTTGCTCCGCTTAGCCCTATCTCCCTCTGGGGGTATTTTAGTGATAGGTTCTATAGGAATTAGACGATCCTATTTGGTCAAATACCTAGCGACAAACTCCTATGTTCCTTTCATTACAGTATTTCTGAACAAGTTCATATAATACCACTTTAATTGGATGTAAGATAACATCACTTTAACTCCTATGTTACTTTCATTACAATTTTTTTGAACAAGTTCATATAACATCACTTTAACAGGCTTTTATCACGTGTATGCATAGAAAGAATAAACTTATTACATAACAAATTTGAAAAGAGCAACAGAAAAAAATTTTAACTTTGATATCATGTTAACTACCTAACTTAAAATCAATTGACAGTAAGTGAAGAGGTCCAACTTAAATATAAAGACTACAATAAATTAGATATTCATTAAATGTGAGGTAACACCACATTAACATGCTCCTATTATGTGTAGGCAGAGATAGAAAAAGCCTTACACGTGACAAATTTAGAAAGGACAGTAAAAGAAAATCATAGCTCTAATACTAGCATCAAACTTAAAACTAATTGATAGTGAATAGAGAGGCCCAACCTAAATATAAAATTACAAAAAATTATATATTTATCAGATGTGAGATAACACTACATTAATAAACACTTGATAAAAATTTTTCATGTTTTGGGAAGAATGATTCACCTTTTGTTTCTCATCTGGGTCACCATCAATTAAAGCTTTACGCAGTAATACTATGAACCGTTTGATTGTTCATTGGATATAAGCTATCTAAGTTTAAGGCACCCTAGAATCGCCTA